ATATATTCTGGGATATGTTTGGTGTTTGTGATCTGTTATGTGATCTTTCCGATTTTTGCGATGTGATATATCTACTATCTACGATATGTTCTGTGATATGTCTGATGTTTTCGATATGTTCTGCAATTTGTCCGATGTCTGCGATCTGTTTGTTGTTTGTGATTTGTCCGATGTCTGCAATCTGTTTTCTGTGCAATATGTCTACGTTTGAATCTGATTCCATTCAGAGTCCTATCGTTTTTACCTCTAGAAGAGAGTCATGTTGTTTTCGATTCCGGTATAGAATTATGTCGTTTTCGGCTTCAGTGGAGAGTCATGTCATTTTCGGTTCCAATGGAGAGTCATCTTGTTTTCGACTCCGGATGAGATTCATCTCATTTTCGACTTCGGTGAAGAGTCATCGTGTTTTCGGCTCCGGTGGAAAGTAAACTGTTATTTTTATTTGCGTTTTTTGCTTCTATATTCAACTTTCTTATCAAACTCAAGTTGGTGTTAGAATATGAAACTAAAATTCTCTCTTTCAATCATAAGAATTCGTACGTATTTATAATGACATACAAATCATCTAAATAATGCAAGAATCCTACAAATATTTGAAATAAGATAATTACTATAAATATAATATATATTTTTTAAATATATTTTAACACCCCTCTTCAAACTCAAGATATGATCAAACAAACTTGAGTTTTTCAGAAGTGAACGAAAAAAATATAGTCGAGATCTTTCATGAACGAACTTGAATTTGCCAAAATTGACCGAAGGTGGTGTAGCCATCCACTGGATCAGAGTCAGAATCAAAACTCAAAGTTGGAAACAGGACTCACGCGTTCACAATGGTGCTAGAGTCAGAAACAAGACTCGCTCGCTCACAGCAAAGCTAGAGTCGGAAACAAGACCCACTCACTCTCAATAGAGTTAGAGTCGAAAACATGACTCTCAACAGCATTAGAGTTAAAAGTAGAATTATGTCAATGGAGAGATCAAAATAGTAGAACTGGAAACGACATGAAAATGACAACATGATCGTAGATAGAAGCAAATACATTAATAAAATATAAAAATATATACAGGATATAACAGGTCATGGATGTACCCGAAGAGAATTTGGCTCTGATATCATGTTTGAAATTTTGGGGGAAAAAAACAATGAGACTGTATTATTGATCATAAAAATAAGGGACCTATATATAGGCAATACAAAACGGACTCGATAAATCTAAGTAATCTAATCTATGGATAAGACCAAATTTAAATATAAATCTACTAAATTTAAAACTGAATACAGTCCCACGTAAATTGTCTATTTTTTTTTTTTTTTGGTTAGACTCATATAATTTGTTTATTTATTTTTTAGTTACATTTTAAAATTTTTACTTATTTACTAATTATAATAGTTCTAATTCCCATATATTAAGTAGACAGTAGACAGGACAACTCAGGTGGATGGAGGTAGTATATTTTAACTTCATCCTTACATTCAAATTACCTCGTCTTTTGAATAGAATAAATTAGTAAATAAATAATCAATTTTTTATTTTATAGTTTTCTTTTGTAAAAATTGGATTACAATTCATTTTTAAAAAGATACTCCCTCCGTCCCATGTAATATGGGTGCATTACTGTAAACACGGAAATTTAGGTAAAGTATAATTAGTAAGTAATTAAGAAATGTATTAGTAAAAATAATTATAGATTAAGATTAAGATAACTAAACAGTTTAATTAAGATTAAAAAATTTAAATTTTAAATTTTAAAATATAATTAAAGTGTATAATTAATTTTCCAAAAAAGAAAAGGACAAATTATGTGGGACGGACGAAAATAGAAAATAGAGACAAATTATGTGGGACGGAGGGAGTAAGACTTACTTAATACTCCCTTCGTCCACTTACAATGTTTACATATTTCTATTTTGGGACGTCCAATAACAAAGTTAACATTTCATTAAATACCCTATTTTTTCCACAAATACTCTTACTTTACATCACATCATTACTTTTACACAAAAAAGTAAAGACAAAAATATCATTACACTACTTTTAATTACTCACTATAATTAAAATACTATTATTTTTTAAACACCGTGCCAACAATAAATGTAAACTTTGTAAGTGGAGTGAGGGAGTATATTTTACCTATTTCATTTGTAAAAGAATTGTTTAATTAAGTGCATGTTTACAAGCAAACATCAATTTTAGATAAAAATTTTATTTTTTCATACTTTAATTAATTTAACACAAAAAATTAAAATACAAAATATTTTAGATATTTATACTAAAACACCCTAGGGTATTATACAATGTACCTAAAATAATTCAAGAACAATTATTAGGATTCTCTCGCTCAAATCTTCAATTGTTTATTTTTATTTTTTTAAAAATAACTCAAGTTTAATAATAGAGATGACAATTATTAGGGAAGTAGGTAAACACCAAAATGTTACCCATGTGGAGTTAATCAATTATTGAAATCCTTAACGAATAAAGACAACGCGTTAAGTGTTTCGTGTAGCATTCCTATAATATTTAACAAGTACAAATATATAAAGGGATATCTATCTAATCGGATCGATTGCGTTGTCCTTAATTGTTACTCCCTCGGTCTCAGAAAATATGGAACTATTACTGTAGATACAGGAATTTAGGTAAAGTATAATTAGTAAGTAATTAAGAAGTATATTAGTAAAAATAATTATAAATTAAGATTAAGATAAATAAATAGTTTAATTAAAATTAAGAAAATTATAAAATTTAAAATTTAAAATGCAATTAAAGTGCATAATTATATTTCCAAAAATAGAAATGACAAGTTATGTGAGACAGACGAAAATAGAAAATATGGACAAATTATTTGGAATGGAGAGAGTTAAATTTTAAGAAGATATATTATCAATAATGCAAAACTAAATGCAATGACTATCGTTCGGTTACGGAGCTGATTTTGAATTAGCATCGGACTGATTTATTCAAATAACACCGATCAAAAGTGTAAGAGCATATGCTATATGTTCATATTTGAAATATGTATTTTATAAAAGTATATAATGTGCTCTTATAGTAGTATGTTATATACTCTTGGTTCTTATGCTGTATTTGTATTTTTATTATATTAATATAAATGGCTTAATTTTTGTAAAAACATCGTGTTTTATTTATTTATTTTTAAAAATTGCTTATGATATTCTATTCAGTACGATGCTAAATTTTAAATTGATTACAATTTGACAAGATTTATATCTACTAACATTTTGACGAAAATGCTAATTAAGGGCGCAGATCAAGTGTTAACCCAATCAAATAAGCATGGTACTGATTTGATCGAATCATCATATCATTTAAAAACATACCGCAAATATTTTTACATAACACACTATATGTTGTATTATAAGATATCATATGCTGAATTATAACATAATATATAATATATTATAAATATGTTATGATAATATTTAATATATATATTGAATTACCTTTATGTAACATGCTGATCGGATCCGCAGCCCGTAATTAATAAAGAAAATAATTAAACTAATTTAATGAGCGTAAATCAAAACTGTCAATTTAAAAATAAATGGACTGAAATTGACGTCCGATGAATGAAAGGGCATAAATATATATTACAAACACACACACACACTCAACAGGTATAAATATTAGCTTAAATACACATGGTATTTGTTGTGTGAATTGCAGAACACAAAACTTGAATGAGAGAATGGATCAGTTCTCTGAAGCAATTCTTACATTAGTCTCCATTCTTGTAGTATTTTTTTCGATCTGCTACTTCAAATTGCTGTCCAAATCTGCAGCAAAATTCCCACCAGGGCCGAGAGGTGTGCCGATCCTCGGCTATCTCCCATTTATCGGCTCTGATATGCTCCGTAAGTTCTCCCAACTCGCGAACAAGTACGGAGAAATCTACATGCTTCGTCTTGGCAACAAGCTTTGTGTTGTGATCAATTCTCCGTCACTCGTGAAGGAGGTTGTCCGAGATCAAGATTACGTTTTCTCCAACAGGTCCCCGCCGGTTGCTGCCATTGTTGCAACTTATGGCGCGAAGGATATTGCGTGGTCGCCCAACAATTCCGAGTGGAGGGCGATGAGGAAGGTTTTCGTGCGCGAGATGCTAAGCAATAGAAGCCTTGAGGTTTTGTTATACAATCACTATAATTTTGGTCTTTTATGCGTAAACATTCTTTGAAAATAGTACTTTATCTCATTTATAATTTTGAGTTAGCACGAATGAAGTATATATTACTCCATTTATCTCAATTACTTGCTAGTTTTGCTTCACAGTTTTCTAATCCATATAATTTAGATTTTTTTTTTTTTTTATTATTCATTTTGCTCTCACATATTTTTGTTAATATATTTTATACATTAATAAAAATCGTTTATAGAAGATTAACTAAACTTAGTGAAACTAAAGAAAAATTACAAAAAGATAGCAAAAGATTTGGCATATATGTATTTAATTTGTTCTACACTTTCCTTCGTGTGCAATTGGTTTTTATTTTTTTTTCGTTAATGTGTGTGTTTGTGTTTTAATTTTTATGCTAAATAGTTGTTGAATACGATGTTTCGAACGTAATATTAGTATGCTTTTATATTAAAATTATGAGATCACATAGTAAAAAAAGGAAAGAAAGAGAAGAGAGTAATCTTAATTAGTCCCAACATAAAATTTATATCATTAAATTTCATCAACTTGTATTGAAATAATATAAAATACTCTATAACTTATAATTTATAACATAAAACACAAGCTGTTATTAAAAAAAAAAAAAAAAAAACGTAGAATTTCAAAACCAAGGCATTGAGGTTTGATTTAGAGTTTTGGTTTCACACAGAGTATCTTGTCATATTTCGAAATCATATGAAGGAAGTTTCTATTCTAATGCTCAACCTATTATTAAGTTAATCCATTTCTTGTTTTTTCCATAGTGATTCATGTCAATTTCTTCACAAATTCACATCTTAATTTTATTTCTTGTATAGGTCTCTTACACTCTTCGAAGGAACGAGGTGAGGAAGGCCATTCAACAAGTTTACAAGAATGGAAAGGCAGCTGTTGAGATTAGTTTACTAGCATTTCAAACCGAGATGAATGTAATAACTAATTTGCTGTGGGGTGAATTGCTTGAAGGAGAAGACGAGGAAATATATGGAAAGAAGTTTTGCGCGATTATCCCTAAGTTTATTGATTTGTTCGGAAAGGCAAATATTTCAGACTTCTATCCATGTCTAGCAGGACTTGATATTCAAGGAATAAAAAGGCAGATGGAGAGCTATCGGCATGCTATAGATAGAATTCTCAATGATATCATTGAAAAGCATAAGAAGAAGTTATCGGAAGGTGTCACGGAAAAAGGGAGGAAAGACTTTCTTCAAATCTTGTTAGAGTTAAAGGAGAAAGATGAAGATTCGATAAGTGACACACAACTTAAAGCCTTGATATTGGTATGCTTTGATCATTATTAAATGAAAAAAGCAATTAAATGATCATCTCATTTGAAAGTTTAAATTAATCAAGACATGAATTATCAATATATTTTTATTTGATTCTTTTCAAGAAAAATTAATCAAACTCTTGTGGATTCTGTAGGATATCATTTCAGGAGGAACCGATACAACTGCATCGACAATTGAGTGGGTAATGGCGGAGCTATTGAACAACCCTACGGTGATGGAGAAGGCGCAAACAGAGTTAGCCGAGGTTGTAGGATTAGATAACATCGTCGAAGAACACCACTTACCTAAGCTAAAGTACTTAGATGCTGTTGTCAAAGAAACATTACGCCTACATCCGGCAATACCCCTTTTGGTCCCAAGATCTCCATCTCAATCTTCCATAGTCGGGGGATACACCATCCCAAAAGACACTATGGTTTTCATAAATGTTGCCTACATCCAAAAGGATCCTCGTTTTTGGAATAGTCCACTTGAGTTCAAGCCCGAGAGATTTCTAGGCAATGGATGTGATTTTAGTGGTAATAATTTTCAATTTCTTCCATTTGGATCGGGGAGACGGATGTGTGCTGGCCTACCCTTGGCGGAGAGAATGCTAATGTATTTTCTAGCTTCACTTGTGCATTCATTTGATTGGAAATTACCGAATGATCAGAAACTTGATATGTCGGAGAGATTCGGGATGATATTGAGGAAGAGTGTTCCCCTCGTTGCCATTCCTAATGCTCGGTTGTTTGATTCAAACTTATATATGTAATATATCGATCTTCCTAATTAAGTAATTGCAATTTCATTTTCATCTTTGTACTCATATTTAGGGTTTGCTTCCTTTGCATTTTATATATGTTCAATATTGTCCCACGTTGAAATTGATATGATGTTGGAGCTTTCCTACTTTATAACGATGAAGAGTCGCTCTATCTAATACCAGATGATTTTAGATTGTAAGTCCGAATTCAATGTTTTTTTTGAGTGAAATAGATGTTGGATATAAAATTTTCTAAGTATGCATAATATTATTTTCTTTTTTAGAAAAATAGAGATTAAATAGTATATATATGTATATAAAAAAATAAAAAATAAATTGATATCTCTCAAGTAGAACCATCTTTTGAAAATATGTGCAACAAAGAGATCAATCTACCTTCAAATTCAAAATCATATATCAAGGTTCAATCACAAGATTGTCCTTTCAAAACTATTCCCACGCCAATTTACTAAATATGTTCGCCAAACTTAAATTTATACCATGAACACCAAAAGTAAAAAATGAAAACAAAAAATAAAATATATAATGTTATTCTTAGTTTGATGCATAATAAGAATTTCACTAAACTTGCACATACACTATCGATTAATTACACGTCGTAATGAATTTATCCAAATATTCGCATATGACTTTTATACTTTATCTACTTTGAAATATATTTACTACTTTTTAGTCTTCGTGCCAAGCCTTGCATTTGTAAGTTTGGCAAATGAAAGAAGTATCATAAACTTTTTAGGGATTCAAATGTAAAGATAGCTAGGGCATAATCTTGGAAAATGTTTACTTCCCAAATTTTATTTATAAAAAAAAAAAAAAAAAAACAAAGAAAAAGAATCATGGAGGAAGAGACGAATTTTAAGGAAAAATTATTTTCGACTTGATTTTATTGTCATTTTACTACTCTATATAGAAAATGTTTGAATTTAGATACCAACTAGATTTAATACCACATTTTGGTCCTCCGACGCTGAAGAATACACATGTTTGTGTGTATATTAGGATTGACAATTAGGAAAAATTGTAAATTTAGTTATATACTTATGGTTAGTTATTATTTTCATCATTTACATTTTATAATAGGGCCTAATCGAAATTGAAAAAACAAAAAATAAAATAAAATAAAATTATACGAATTAATGTTAGCAAGCACATGACTTCTCTGTAAACAAAATTAGAGGTAACAAGTTTGGCCGGCCCCAATTTTTCATGCCAGGTCAGTCCAGTCCGACTTTAATTTTGTCTCATATAGCTTAGACTTGATTTTGAATTGGGCTTAAAAATTAGGCTCGAGCACAATCCAATTTGAAACCATACAGGCCGGCCAACCCTTTTAAAATTTTTTAAAAAGATCTACTATTTTTGTTTCGGATTTATACAATTACATTTTGTGTAACTTTTTTTAAGAACATAAATTGTATTAGTTTAAATACATAAATTAGAGTAAATCTGTATTTTTTATAATAACAAATTTAAAAAGATGTCCACTTGTATTGACGAACTTTATTTCAGAATTGAAAGTAATGAACCAAGAGCTACAGAGCCAGCATTCGTATGAATTTCGTTATATTTATTTAATTATTTATTAATATATATTATAAAATTATATAATTTTAAAAATTCAGGTCGGATCATGCACGGTTCAATCTTTATAAGCCCGGGCTTGACTAGTTCATTATTTAGTAATTATCTTCTATATGCTACTTCAAATTGCAGTCTAAATTTGAAGCAAAATTCCCACCAGGGCCATGGGGTGCGCCGATCCCCGGCTATCTCCCGTTTATTGACGCTGATATGATCAATAAGTTCTCCAAATTTGCAAGCAACTATTGTTGCGAAAATTAGAAAATCAAGAAAAGCATATAAGAATAGATGAATTTAGTGATTCAGTTCGATCATGATGATCTTTGCATGGAGCGACCAAACCAAGCATTTGCCTAACTAATTTCAGGATACAACTTACAGAGATAATAAATAAGTATATATATAGATATATATATATATATAATGTTGACCAAACTTAGCATCCGATGCAAAATCTATTTGAAAGCGATGATTCACCCTACATTATACTAACTTTGTAGAATTTTAATTTTTTTTATTTTTTCGAATTGATTCAAATATAAAAGTGGGTCACATTAATATGATTATTTATAAAATTATATTTTATTCCACATTGCTTTCAACAACAAAAAAAAAAAAAAAAAAAAAAACAAACCTTAATAGTGTTATAAATATGACAATATGTATTAACTTCAATTATTTTGCTAAAAGTTTCAATTTTCATAGAAAAAAAGATTTTAACTGCAAAATCATATTTCATAGCTAAAATTATTTGACTAAAGAAATCATGCATATTTTATTGCTAAAATTCTTTTGTTATGATTTTTTTTTTTTTATTGCAAAAGAGCTTTAGTTATTACTATTATTTTTTCTTAATATGTATAAAAAATCATGCCATTCAAAAATCTTGTCCCACATTATTAGTATTATTACTATTATTTTTAAAAGTCTTTCTATAGAAGTTATGAATTCTATTGAGTTTCCTTTATTTGATCCAACAAACGAATAGTTCTTATAATAATTATTTTCTAAAGTAATATTTTTCGTCTCCCATTGATCTTGCACAAAAATGACGAGAAGAGATTGTTGGAAAGAAAATTATTTTATGTGAAGTATAGAGAATTGTGTAGAGAATATAAAATAATGAATATTTATAGTGTATTAATTTTTATGGGAAAGCGTGCGAGAAAAAAATAGTGAAAGAACAAAGCCAATGTATAATTTTTTTTCTCTTTTCCACATATAGATATAAATTACTTTTAAATTTATTTCGATTTTAAATAATTTTTATATGATTTTTTCGTGGGTAGCACATGTATTAAGCTAGTTTATATATATTTTACGTTCTCTGATTTGTATTTTATTTTAAGTATTTTGTTTAAACTTTTTTTAATAATATTTTAATTTGATATGCTATGATTAATTTTTTTAGATTTATTGAAAATCATGCAAATTGATACAGAACAAGTAGTTTGAAATCAAAACAAAACAAACTCTTATAATTCCAAATTTTGCAACTAATCCTTCAAAAAAATTGCAATTAAATACTAGGGGTTAAATAAAACTTTATTATTAAATAATTTTATAAAAATAATCTAAATTTACAAAATAATTATTAACTAGTAATAAATTTTAAAATTAAATTTATTTTGATTATAATTCAAAACTTACAATTTACATTATTATTCTTTTTAAAAATATATTTAATAACTACTTAATTTCTTAGAGTGTGTTTGGCTTACCTCCTATTTATTTTTCTATATTATGTGGAACTTATAAAGAATTAAACCCTAAGTTCATAATCTGTCGTATTGAAATAATTGACATAAGAAAACAAAGCTAATAAGTCTAACTTTATTCCATCAACGTTGGCGGATTTAGATCTGCAAACAATGGAAGCTTTTGTATTCTTCAAGCCTATAACGCAACCATTCCCGAGAAAATCGCTAGGATTTCTGCGGTTACTACCACAATGAGATAGGAAAAGTAATAGATGTTGCGCTTAGACCTGGGATCACAACCCTAATTTATATCCATTATTATTAATTGGTCTCATCACCCAATTAATAAGTTACGAGGTTTCTGCACATAGGTGGTCCGCACTTACTAAATACATTTAAGTCCAATAAATTTATAAATTATTTAATATAGGCTTAAATAGTTACATTTAACCGATCCAACATATTATGCTTCCATTTTGGTCTTTTGCAAGCCTGGTATGATACCCACAAACTTGAGTAAATATGAATATTGTTTAAAATGATTGATTAAATTACGCACATAAATGATGTAAATTTTTTTAGAGTCCTATTAAAAAAAAACTTTAAAGTTAAATGTACGAAGTAATTATCACTTTTGTCATTTATATAATATATATTTTTTCATTTAAAGCTTGACATTCAATATTTATCTTTTATTATTTAAAATATTGTATAAAGTAGACATTGCAGATCTCATCAATAATCTGATGGCGATGGGGAAGGCACATAAATAATTTAGTAAAATAATAATAATGTGTACAGATATGATAAAGTATTTAAGTTAACAATAATAAATTAATTTGTTTATTTGTCCCTTTTTTTTAGTCTAGTAGGGTACCATATGTGTCGGAAATTCAAAATTATAAGAATATAAAAAATGATATTGTGGTTTGTTAGTGATTCGAATAATAAAATAATTACGTACAAGATGACCATATGTTGATTGCGGATTTATCAGTACCATACTGATTACCCCGATCATATGAAAATACTATAGATAATGCTATAAAAATATAACATACAACAAATATAAAATATTAATACGTGTTGTCAGTTTTATTTTATATGTATGCAATAAGTTTATATCTAAATGTGATCTCTGATATATATTATTTGTATTATCAGCACGGTGCTGATTATATTTAATAAGCGCATAGTATATTGTTAAAGATGGTTGAGTTGCTGTAGTATATTGTTTCTAATAACTTCTCGGTTGGAAGCTGCGGGTTCGAGCCCCGCCAGTCCCGACGGATCTAACATCCAGTAAATGCATAAATTTATTTTTCCCTTTTTTTGAACTAGTAAAGGGTGTCGGGGACATAATTTTTAATACAAGTCTAGTAGGATTTGCCCGACATAATTTGCAAACTATCAAATTGAGCCCGAAAATTTTACCCAATACATGCCCCCTGTTATTAAGAAAATAATAATAAAATGTAATTTTGAAAACTATACATGAGTAGCAATTATTGATCGAATCTCAAGATTGTCAATTAAAACTATTTTTTTAGAAATACGAGCAATCGAGAGATCAATTTGCTATTCAAATTCAAAATGAACTATCAAGGTTCAATCACAAGAACGTATTTTTAATTAAATTACTCCCTCGCCAAATTTATTAAATTTGTTCGTGAAAAACTCCTACCTTCTACCATATACAGCAAAATTTAAAATTTAAAAAGAAAAAATGATCTTCTTTAATGTTTCTTGTTGGATTTTTGTCCTTATGGTCCACCCCGAATAAATACACAAATACACACTCGTCTCGCAGCCCGAGCGCATTCGGGCCTGGCCCATGTCCCGACCTCACCATCCGTCCGACTCTGTCCGCATGACTTCGTCTGATTTCGACCGACCGTCCCGACTTCGTCCTGGCTTGGACCGTCCCGACTTCGTCCTGGCTTGGACCGTCCCGACTTCGTCCTGGCTTGGACCGTCCCGACTACGTCCTGGCTTGGACCGTCCCGACTTCGTCCTGGCTTGGACCGTCCCGACTTCGACCTGGCTTGGACCGTCCCGACTTCGACCGTCCGCCCGACTTCATCCCAACTTGGACCATCCGCATACATACTGACAGTCTGACCTTATGCCTCCCGACCTTGACCCACGTCCTGATCCGACCCGACTAGGATCCGCGTCTTTTTCCTTAGCCACGTCCCTGGCCGTCCGATCTGGGGCTTTGATCCTGTCCGTCCATTCGACCTGTATATATATATATATTTGGAGTGTGAGAAAAAAAAAGAATTCGATACATCACCCACTCTCTCTCAAAAAGCTTACCCTCTCTAGCCTCTCTCTCTCTCGATTGGTTCTCTCACTCTCTCGTCCGACGGCGGTTCACGGCGGTTGTTTGTGTAGTGCCTTTCCTCCTGTGTCTGTGGAGTTCCTTTGGCACCTGTTTCCCCTGTGTGTGTGTTGTTCGCAGCCGAAAGGGGCTCGTTCAACTGTAGGCTTGTGGTTTCTGTTTCCTGTATGCCTGTTACTGTTACTGTGGGGGTGTTTTGTGGTTGTGAGTCGTGGTGTTGTGGCCGATGTGCTTGTGTTAGTCGCGATTCGAGTGTGTATGTGTATATTTTGTGTTTCGAGTGGTTAGGGGCTGAGCCTAGCCAAAACTAGTTAAAGTTTTTGTTCGATTTTCTTAATAAAGAATTTGATCCTTTTCCGCAATTTTTTAATAACAAGTGGTATCAGAGCTCTGTGTGTCTTCTTTGTTATTTTGAGAAAATCGTTTTGTTCTTCTAAGTTTCAGTTAGTTTGTTACTAAACCGGTGTATTTTTCAGAAACGGTTTTGTTTTTCAAACTCTCTTTGTTAAATAAAGTATAAGTCAGGATAATCTGCCTCTGTGTGGTTTTAGATCTGTTAAATTTGTTTGGATCTCTTTACTGTGGAGTCAAGTTCAAAAGTGTTTCGAAAATATTAAAAGTTTTTGAAAAAGGTTCTTTAATATTCAAACTGTTCTCGTTTGAAAATTGTGATAAGATCTGTAAGCCTGTCATCCAGTCTGTTTTTGCATTGTTGTGTCGGATATATTGAGAACACTTTTTGGTGTTAATTTTCGGTGATTCTAACTTTTGGTTAGAAAAGAAACAAATTCTTGTAATTTTTTGTTTCTTGGAAATTAACCATTGCTAACCCCTGTTCTCCAAAAAGGAGAATAGGCTGTTTTTTGTTCTCTGTTCCTATTTTTTGTAGGAATAATATTTTTGTTGTTGCTGTGCTTCAAGGGTAATCTCTAAAACTCATCTTATACAATTACTGTTTTGTGTATGTTGATATAGTTAGGTTATATCTTGTGATTAATTCTTTGCCTGCTGTGATTATCTGTTGTGTGTGATAATCTGTATTTTCTTGCACGACAGTGTGATATTTTGCCAAATTTTTTGTTTCTGTTTTGTGTGAAAATTAGAAAAATAATTTTCTGAAAACTAAGTAATATTTGACTGAAAATCTGTTTTTTTTTTTTTTTTTTTTTTTAATATAAATAAAATGGCTAGTCATTCTGGTTTTAGTATTCTACCTTTTGATGGAAAAATGGATTTTGCAATTTGGAAACAAAAAATGAGAAGTATTTTAGTAACTCAAAGGTTGATTAAAGCAGTGGAGCCTGATCATTCAATTCAAGTTCCTCTTGAGAGGAGAGTTGAATTGGATGAAATTGCTTCATCTACTATAATCTTACATTTGGCTGATCATGTAATTAGAAAAGTAGGCAAACAAGAATCTGCTTTGGCATTATGGAACAAATTAGATGAACTATACACTCAAACATCATTACCAAGTAGAATGTATCTGTTAGAAAAATTTTTCAGTTTTAAACTTGATTTATCAAAATCAATTGAAGAAAATCTGGATGTTTTTTCTAAACTAATACAAGATATTAAACTTACTGGTGATAAAAACATTGATGATTATAGTGCTATAGTTTTATTGAATGCCATACCTAACTCATACTCTGATGTAAAATCAGCCATTAAATATGGGCGTGATTTTATTTCATTAGATGTAGTTATTAATGGTTTAAAATCTAAAGAATTAGATTTACAAACTCACAAGTCAAGTAAGGGTGAAATTATGTATGTTAGGGGTAGGTCACCTTTTAGATCAAATAAGAAAAATAATTTTGGTAGTAACAAAAACCAAAATAATAATAATAAAAATAGATCTAAAAGTAGAAATAAAAACAGATCTAAAACTCCTAATAAAGGGGGTAGAAGATGTTTTAATTGTGGTGACCCAAATCATTTTATACGCGAATGCCCTAAAAGAAATAAAAATTACAGTAATGATAGCAGTAACAATAGTCAAAGGCAGCAAACTTGTGAAGTAGCAAATATGACATTGCTTGATAAAATGAGTGATGATGTTTTTGCTGTTAAGACCGACTGTTCAAATGTGGATATTTGTGCAAATGAATGGCTTATAGATTCTGGTTGTACTTATCATATGACTCCTTTAAAATCAATTTTTAGTGAATACAAAACCTTAGAAAACTGCACTGTTTCAATGGCTGACAACAGTGTATCCAATGTTCTTGGAATAGGAAGTGTAAATTTAAAATTTAACACTGGTTTTGTATTGAAACTAAGTAATGTGAGGCATGTTCCTGGTTTATCAAATAACTTGTTATCTTGTGCTGCTTTGTCCGATTTAGAATTAGAGGGTAAATGGGGGAGTAATTGCATGAAAATTACTAAGGGGTCCTTAGTCATGTTTAAAGCTGAGAAACGTAATAATCTGTATGTTACTTGCGCTGAACCAATAAATGTGCCTGTAAATTCTGCAAATTCTGTTTTAGAGAATAGTGATTTGTGGCATAAACGACTAGGACACTTAAGTAATAGAGGTCTAGAAATTTTACATAAAACAGGCTGTTTTGGAAATATAAAATTTGAACCTGTAGTCTTTTGTGATAACTGTGTTTATGGTAAACACCATAAAGTGCACTTTCCCCAAACTCCCAATAATAACAACAGAATTTTTTCAAAACAAAAACTAGACTATTTACATGCTGATGTGTGGGGCCCAGCTAGTGAGCCCACACAAGGAGGGTCTAGGTATTTTTTGTCCATTATAGACGATTTTTCAAGAAAAGTATGGGTTTTTCTGTTAAAAAAAAAATCTGATGTATTTGAAACTTTCAAAAATTGGAAAGTTAAAATTGAAAATCAAACTGAAAAGAAAATAAAATGTCTTAGGACTGATAATGGCTTAGAATTCTGTAATTCTTGGTTTGATATGTTTTGTCAAGAAAATGGTATTAAAAGGCATAAAACTGTCCCCTACACACCCCAACAAAATGGGGTGGCTGAGAGGATGAACCGGACTCTCTTAGAGAGAGTTAGAAGCCTTTTGGCTTCTTCCGGTTTATCCAAGAAATTTTGGGGTGAAGCTGTTGTTACAGCAGCTTACATAATAAATAGATCACCTTCGATTCCATTAAATGGTTTGTGTCCTAAATTTAAGTGGACCGGTAAAAATGTTGATTTTTCAAACCTTAGGGTTTTTGGGTGTTCTGCCTTTATACGTACTAATAATGACAAGTTAGACCCTAGGGCTGAGAAGTGTGTCCTTCTAGGGTACCCGGAGGGAGTTAAGGGGTATAGACTTTGGTTAAGGTCTAGGCCCGGTTTTAAGGCCATTATTAGTAGAGATGTTGTGTTTAATGAAAATGAAATGCCATGCTTAAATGTTGAAAAATCTGTGTGGGATAAATCTGAATCAAATGTTGAAAATGTAGATTCAATTGGTACACCAAATGAGGTGGAGTATAATTCTGAGCATAACTCTGTTGATATTAGAAATGATGGAAATTATGATGGTCTGTCTGATGCTCATAATGAAATTACTCTTGAAAATAATTCTGAAATGAATTCCAATGTGCCTGAAATTGATAATTCTGTTGAGAATAATAATAATTCTGATTTTGATAGAAATGATCAAGATGAACTAGAAAATTATCAATTGACTAGAGATAGGGATAGGAGAGTCCCTAGATTACCTAGTAGGTTTGGTGATTTTGATTTAACTTCGTTAGCTTTTAGTGTGTTTGAGAATTTAGATGGTAGTGAACCTAAGACCTTTAGGGAGGCCATAAATTCTGAAAATAAAATAGATTGGTTAAAAGCTATGAAAGAAGAAATGGATTCTTTATATAATAATAAAACTTGGAGTCTAGTCCCTAAACCACCTAATTGTTCTCTTGTTGATTGTAAATGGATTTATAAGGTTAAACAAGAAGATAGTGGAATTAGGTTTAAAGCAAGATTAGTAGCCAAAGGTTTTACTCAAAAGGAGGGAATAGATTATAATGAAATTTTTGCCCCTGTTGTCAAATTTACCACTGTGAGAATCATGTTAGCTTTAGTTGCCTTTTATGACTGGGAATTAAAGCAATTAGATGTTAAAACTGCCTTTTTACATGGTGAATTAGATGAGAAGATTTATATGAAACAACCTGAAGGTTTTATTGATAAAAATAAAACTAATCATGTTTGTTTGTTAAACAAGTCTTTGTATGGTTTAAAACAGTCACCTAGACAATGGAATATCAAATTTGATAATTGTATGAAAAATCTTGAGTTTACTAAAAGCAAATTTGATTATTGTTTATACTTTAAAACTGTTGAAAGCCAACCTATTTTTCTTCTCATTTATGTGGACGATATGTTGATTATAAGTCCCTGTATAAAGCTGATTGATAATGTGATTAAGTGTTTGTGTGATAATTTTGACATGAAATTGTTGGGGGATGCCAAGGTGATATTAGGCATGACAATTATTAGAGATAGAAAAAATTTCAAACTGTTTTTAAACCAATCCTCCTATATTTCGAAAATTATTAAAAAATTTTCCATGTGTGATGCAAAATCTGTATCTGTTCCAATGGCTTCTAATTTTGTGTTAAGTAGGGACCAATGTCCAAAATCTGAATCTGATTGTGAATATATGAAGCATGTGCCATACTCTAATGCCATAGGTTCCATAATGTACTTAATGGTTAGCACTAGGCCTGACTTAGCCTATGCAATTAGTTGTTTAAGTAGGTATATGTCAAATCCAGGCTTAGAACATTGGCATGCCTTAAAGTGGGTGTTTAGATACTTATCTGGTACAATCAATGTGGGTTTAGTCTTTGGTAAATATACTAAAAATATACAGTTAGAGGGTTTTGTAGATTCAAATTACGCTAATGATAGAGACACTAGGAAAAGTACTACCTCATATATTTTTACCTTGTGTGGAACTAGTGTTAGCTGGAAATCACAATTGCAACATATTGTTGCTTTGTCCACAACTGAATCTGAGTATGTAGCAATAACTGAAGCTTTAAAGGAAGCAGTGTGGTTAAAGGGTTTAATTACTGAAATTGGTTACTTGCAACATACTGTCACTGTTTTTTCGGATAGTCAGTCCGGAATTCAATTGTGTAAAAATCCTGTGTTTCATGATAGAACTAAACACATTGATGTACGTTTTCATTTTATTCGGGACATAGTATCTAAAGACATAGTAAAATTAGAGAAGATCCCGTCTGAATATAACCCAGCTGATATGGGTACTAAGGTTCTGCCTGCAAGTAAATTCGTATCTTGTATGAGATATATACATTGTGATACTTTTGATTAGTCTTATACTACTTAGTGTGGTTGGTAGGCTAATTTAGTGTTTTTTTTTTTTTTAACATTGTGTATCTGTGTTGCAGGTATAGGGTAATATATAATGAAATAAAATAGGCGATGATGTTCCCCGACCATTCGGACCAAAAGTCAGGTGGAGGATTTGTTGGATTTTTGTCCTTATGGTCCACCCCGAATAAATACACAAATACACACTCGTCTCGCAGCCCGAGCGCATTCGGGCCTGGCCCATGTCCCGACCTCACCATCCGTCCGACTCTGTCCGCATGACTTCGTCTGATTTCGACCGACCGTCCCGACTTCGTCCTGGCTTGGACCGTCCCGACTTCGTCCTGGCTTGGACCGTCCCGACTTCGTCCTGGCTTGGACCGTCCCGACTACGTCCTGGCTTGGACCGTCCCGACTTCGTCCTGGCTTGGACCGTCCCGACTTTGACCTGGCTTGGACCGTCCCGACTTCGACCGTCCGCCCGACTTCATCCCAACTTGGACCATCCGCATACATACTGACAGTCTGACCTTATGCCTCCCGACCTTGACCCACGTCCTGATCCGACCCGACTAGGATCCGCGTCTTTTTCCTTAGCCACGTCCCTGGCCGTCCGATCTGGGGCTTTGATCCTGTCCGTCCATTCGACCTGTATATATATATATATTTGGAGTGTGAGAAAAAAAAAGAATTCGATACATCACCCACTCTCTCTCAAAAAGCTTACCCTCTCTAGCCTCTCTCTCTCTCGATTGGTTCTCTCACTCTCTCGTCCGACGGCGGTTCACGGCGGTTGTTTGTGTAGTGCCTTTCCTCCTGTGTCTGTGGAGTTCCTTTGGCACCTGTTTCCCCTGTGTGTGTGTTGTTCGCAGCCGAAAGGGGCTCGTTCAACTGTAGGCTTGTGGTTTCTGTTTCCTGTATGCCTGTTACTGTTACTGTGGGGGTGTTTTGTGGTTGTGAGTCGTGGTGTTGTGGCCGATGTGCTTGTGTTAGTCGCGATTCGAGTGTGTATGTGTATATTTTGTGTTTCGAGTGGTTAGGGGCTGAGCCTAGCCAAAACTAGTTAAAGTTTTTGTTCGATTTTCTTAATAAAGAATTTGATCCTTTTCCGCAATTTTTTAATAACATTTCTCATATTTTAGATAAATAATTACGGGTGTGTTTGTAGGTTTTAGTTTTTTTATTTGAATTTTTGAATAGTAAAAAGTTAAATTTGAATAGTTGGTTGATATGATATAAATAGATTTGATGTGATGTTTTGAATATAAATAAATTTTTAGTATAATATAAAATAATAATAATAATAATTGTTTGAGTTGATATGTTTTTTTTTGAGAAAAAAAATTTTCATAGTAAAAATTCACAAAAAACGCAATCTACAATTTTACCACTATAATTAAATATCACATACACTATCAATTAAAAACATTTTCCAATGAGTTTTTCAAAATATGCCCATGTGACTTTTGTGCTAAACCTTATATTGGTAAGTGTGACCATAAATACATGATTAAATTTTAAATTTTTCTTGAAAAATTCATGTTAGCAGCCATGTGACTCATGTAAATAAAATAAAGCCTTTAGGATGGTTGGTTCTATAAAATCAACCTTTTATCTCTTACTAACTCTATCCCGCTCTAAGGTCGCATTTACTTTTTGCGTATTGATATTTGAATATTAATTATTATATCAAAACATAGTACAAATTAAAAAAAATTGTAAAAATACTTTCATTAGTTTCTTATAATACTAATAGAATGACATATGTACAAAAAAAAATTATACAAATATAAGGATATTTTTAATGTTAATACAATGACGCAAAAGGTAAATGTGACCCTTAGAGGCGGACGAATAGAATATTTTATAGCAGGTTCATATCTTTTGTTTATATTGTCATTTCTATTCATCCTATGTCTTCTTTCTTTTCTTTCTTTTTTTTTTCTGAAAAAAAAAAAATTACACCTGTAACAATATTTTAAATTCCTTAATCTATAATTACCCTAATTTTAACTAGATTAATTAATTATACTTATTTTAATCTATATTACTTTTATTGTATTACAATTACTTTTACTAATATATACCTTGAGATTTGTTTTATATTTATTAATTATATTACTTATAAAATCTTGTATCTACAATGTGCAAGACGAGAGAGTATGTTACTCTATTTTTCTCCATCTCATTTCAAAAGGGTCACTTGCTTCTTTTTTTTTTTTTTTTTATAGTGAATTAAAAAATAATAGTAATATTTTATTAACTAGTGAAAGTATGTAAGATAGTTTGACACTTTTGTTCTTACAAAATACAAATAAAATAATAATATTTTTTGTAATTTATGTAAAAGTAGAGGTATTTTTATATTTTTATATAATATGCTTTTACTATATTAGGAAAATGATATTTTTAGAGAGAAGCAGAAATGCTAAAAGAAATACTTTGAATTCAAAAAAATAAAGTATTTCTTATCCTAGAAATATTATATTCAATATTTATTTTAATTTAAAATATTATTCAAAAAAAATGTTTTTTATTTATATAAATTGTGGTGTTCAACACTTTTTTTTAAAAAAAGAAACATTCTATTCTCATTGTCCGGGATAATATGCAATTTTATTTGAATACAAAAACTAAAAAATAATAATATTTTCATATAAAATTGGAGTATAAAGTTAGAATATTATAAAAAATATATTAAAAAAATTGATAAAAAAAAGTGGCGATTAAACACAAAAAAAACATAGTGATAAATTAATTATTAGTAATTAAATTAGGGGTAATAAAATGATAAATGAATAAATTTATTTATTATAAATAGATGATGCATAGGTTTAGTATATATTCAAAAAAAATAGTGACAAAATTATTCCGAAATGTAAAGAGAAGGCACAAAAATAATTTATTAAAATAAAAGCAAACGTGTACACATATGAAAATATTTTAGTTACAATAATTAGAAAAGACTCTAGTACATATATGATAATATCGTGTATTGTTTGATGTGATTTTCAGACTATTTTACTTATTTCAATATTTGTCTCATTTGCGTTTCCAATATTATTAAAAAAAATAATATATTGTTTAATACTCCCTCCGTCTTATTTCTATTATCCTAAAATATATTTACACGATTTATTAGGTAATTGCCTTTTTATTATAATTTAACAAATTTATCCTTAATTGTATGGTAAAGATTAAAAGTATAAATGAATAAAGAGTAAAAATGTAAAATTTGTGTTTAAAAAAAAAATAGAACAATAGTTGTTGGACAAATAAGAAAATAGGACATTAGTTTATGGACGGGGGAGTATATAATTTGCAGATTATTGTACTTATTTAAAAACTTATCTCATATGCGATTCCAACATTTAAAAAAATATATATTATTTGATGTGATATAGTCTCGCACAGTATACACAACAATTATTTTAACGTATAATATACTCTTATATAGCACACGCTGTCATTATATAAACGAACTATATTGTATGTAATAAAAATGTATATTGTTTCTATATTTTACATGTGATGATTTGAAAATTTAGCACATTGCTCAACTCAGCCCAAATCAGCACTGTAACTTTGAGAAAATTGCAAACAATATATCACACGTATACCCGATTATCACTTTTATCATGTACTTATCTCGCTGACAAAATATATCTCACTGACAAAATATATCTCACATGTTTGCTAAAGTCGCTATTTTTATCCTTTGACGACTCGTGGCCACGCGTAACGGCGCATGGTGTGAATGTCACGTGCAGGCAAATGATATAAATAACGAATTTTGTAAATATATGGGATATATTTTGCCAGTGAAATAAATACAGGACAAAAGTGATAATAAGGTGTAAGTGTGAGATATTTTTTTGCAATTTTCTCCCGTAACTTTCATTAAAAAAAAAAAAAAAAGTAATTTCCAAAACCAAACATGACTAAAATTTTAAGGAAAAATTATTTTATACTTGGTTTTATCGTCATTTTAGTACTCTATATATAGAAAATGTTTGAATTTAGGACACCAACTAGATTTAATACTTCATTTTGGTCCTTATGGTGATGAAAGAATGCCCATGTTTGTGTGTATATATATTAGCTCCCTCAAATAACAAAAAAACTTGCAAATTTAGTCATTAATCTATGTTTGATTATAACTTTTATTTGATAACATGAGAATTCCGCATGTAAGATCTGAAGGCGTTGGGAGTTTGAATCTATTACTTCACGATCACGAGTCCACCTCCGCACCACCAAGTCACTCGAGACAGTGTGACGAAGGAGTATATTACTTCTTACCCTAAAATATATTTCATCCGTTTCAAATCAAAGTATTATTTTTACTATCTTCGTTTGTGCTACTCAAAAGTATTCAATTTTTATTTTACTAAAATTATTCGTATACTAATACCAAAATATCCTTAACATTTACTTAAATTACAAACGTACTATTAGACATACAGTTCATTTATACATAAGGTTAAAAGGAAAAATTGTTAAAATTTCTTATACATTTCCACTAATCAATAAAATATTATTATTTATTAATCTACTACAAAACTCCAAAGAATCCATTTGAAGTGAAACGAATGAAATATCATATTTAATATTTATTCTTAATTTAAAATATTATCTAAAAAACTTTTTTATATATATTTAAAATATGACGTTCTATATATATATAGTTTTTAAAATATATTATACTCCCACTATGTAAGATAATATTTTTATACTCCCACTATCTAACATAATTATGCAACTTTATTTGAGTACAAAGAGTAAACATTTTTTTATGATGTTTTAATATAAAAGTGGGACATATACAAAGTAGAATTATAAAATATATATATTTAAAAAATTGATTAAAAAAATGTGGTATAAGTACAAAAATTAATGATAAAGCGGTTATTATTGATTAAATTAAAGATAATAAAATTATAAATGAATAATTTACTATAAATAAATTATATATAAATTTAATAAATATATCAAAAATAAAGAATAACAACAAAATAATTCTCGATGGAGAGATTACAAAATAGTAATGTAGATTTCATCAACAACACTAGTGACGGAGAAGGCACACAAATAATATATTAAAATAGAAATAACATGTATCTATATATATATATATATATATATGATATTCTCTTTATTCTATATAAAGGGTTCATTTTTTCTATTTCTATTTATCTCACATAATTTGTTATTTTCTTTTCGGAAATATAATCAACACTTTAGTCATATTTTAGATTTCATAATTTATAATTTTTTAAATTTTAATTAAACTATTTAATTATCTTAATATTAATCTATAATTATTTTTATTATATAACAAGTATTTTTATTAATATATTTCTTAATTAATCTTTATCTCGATTCTCGTATCTATATTAACATAGATACTTTTTGTGGGATGGAGGGAGTAATATTTTAGTTACAATAATTAGAAAAGACTATATTACAACTATTTTACTTATCTAAAAAATTTTATCCCATGTGTGTTATTACAACTATTTTACTTTGAGGTTTTGGTTTTGAGTTTTGATTTTGAATAGTAAAATTTTGAATTGAAATAGTTGTTTGATGTGATATAAATATGATGTGATGTTTTGAATGTAAAATTAGATTTTAGTGTAATAAAATAAATAAAGAACAAATGTTTGATTTGATATTTTTTTAGAAAAAAAAAAATTAGAATAGTAAAATCAGACATAAAATCTTACTGGTAAACAGACCCAAAAGAAGTTTGATGTATTGTTTAATGTGATTTGTAAACTATTTTACTATCTCAATCCACATACTGTAATATTTTTTATTTTAGTCTATCCA